TGTTTACTACTGACCTTTCATGGAAACCGTGTATACAATTGATTGCTAAATTAGCATCTGCTAAGGTTGCTTCTTTTGTCATGCTGGCCAGCTTCTTACTCCTGATTCCATTCTCCACATCTACAAATCTCTTATTTACCCCAGTATAATATACTGTTGCTATAGCTTCTCTTCCAGAAAAGCTCTGAAAGCGCATTGTAAATGTAATTGAATCTTTATCTGCCAAGTTTGAGCCTCTCTCCCATCGTTGTAAAGTTGTACCTCTTTTTCTTTTCTATAAATAGTATCAAAGTGGCTGAACCAAAATTCATTTTTGCTTGATTTGTGATTCAACAAAGTCTCATTCTTTTACTGTAGTTCTCCCTGCGTGCTCTCAAAGCTTTATCTAGTTTTTCTTCCCCGCACATCAACCCTTTGAAACTCTCTCCCGTCTTAACATGTTTTCCTGACTTATACAACCTACAACTTTTCAAAACTTCTGTCTACCGTTTCTTTGCTCTTTAACTCTTTTCTTTTCGTCCCTAAGCTTTGATGGGAGTGAATCAGAATTTAAAAAAATGAATAAAAAATTAAACATTCTTCCATTGGAGGAGTGGCTTAATTAAGAAGATGTAATGGAAGGGGAGGAAGGGGCGGCAAAACATTTAAATGCATCTACAATTAGTATTTTTTCATTTCTAGTTTTTATGTTTTTTGTAAATATATATTTTATTAATGTTTTTTGGTTATGCTTTTTTTAATTGCAGATTTTAATTGCAAAAATTTATTTCATTTCTTTTTGTAAACATTGGTATTTTGTTATGTTTTGTTCATTTGTAATTAAAATTGTTTCCTTGCTCTTTAAAATAAAAACTGTTTCCTTGGTCTTTAAATCTATTCTTTTTTTCTTCTAGTAACTCCCAACTTAATAATGCTTGCATTATCGTGTTGCAATATTACCCCTTTTTTTTAAGCAGACCCGGTCATTTTACTAACAATTGGTTGTGCAGTCTATCCAATTGTTGGCAATACAATTCAGCCATAACTGCTATTCCAGGTTTCAATTTCTGATATATTGCAAAACCGATTGTTGATAAATAACCAGGTCTGATCAACAAAAAATAGAGCAATATTGCAACATGATAGTGCCCGGCCGAACAAGTACCTGGATGAAGCAGCATCCAGGTAATTGAGACTTACTGACTTACTCTAAAGAAAGTTGAGTAAGGCTTAGAGTAGTTAAATATAAACTTTTGATAAAAATTTAAACAATAAAAAAAACCTAAAGCATTGCATGTCTTTTTTATTTTAATGTTATAGAATTATTCCTCCTTTTTCTTAGAAAATAATTTTTTCTATGAGAACTAGCAAAATATTGCCCATTTGAAAAATGATTTAAACGTAGTACTTACTACAGATACATACTGGGACTATTATGCATCAATAGGAACGTCCTTAGTTTATGTACAAAGCTATTATGTATTTTTGGATATCACCATTAATTTTGACCTGTATCACAAATCCTATAATTAACATTATAATAAAAAAAAATTATACTTTTTTTTATACCACATTATCTAAATTCCTCTTTAATTGAATATATTAAATCTCTGTAAACTAAAATATCTTCCATAAAATGTGCAGCAATTTTGGAATTTTATGAAACTTTTCATAAAAAAAATTAAAATCTCATTTTACCTTAGATAGAAATTCTTCATCTTGATGCAGTGTTTTCATTAAATGTGCAATGATACAATTGGGATCAGACACATCTATTTCAATTAAATTAAATTAAAAAAATAAAGAAAATGTTCTAAATTTAACTACTATATAGTAGTATGACATAATATTTTTCCATTCAAAACAAATTTTAACCAAATATTAACCAAACTGTTTTATATTTGTTTAAAAAATTATTTTTATTCACTCAGAAATTAACTTTTATTAATTCAGTGATAAAAACCTCAGCAGGATATACTGTTATAACAAAAGTTGAAACAAAAAGACAAATAACTAAACAACAAAGAAACAAACTAAACAAAAAAGCCTCAAAGTCTGCACTTTTATTACTCAGTGTTTATTTAGTTTATTCTTTATTATTTAGTTAGTAATACAAAAGTAAAAATAATGAAAGATAGATGATAATGAAATTTTGTTGATAATAGCTAGTAGATCTCAAAAGTAAGGTAAATAAATTACCTGCTTGTCTGTCATCAAATGGGTCTGGATCTGTAGCAGCGTATAATGTCAATTCTTCTTCTAACAAATCTGAAATTCTTAAAAGAAAAGAATACATCAGAACAACACAAAAATACAAAATAAGTCAAAAAAATTCAAATAAATCAAAATAATTCGAATAAATCATTGTTTTGTACATGTTTTGTTTTTTTACACATATATACAAGCTATATGTAAAGCAAATTACACCAGACTTACTAAATCAGAGTTAGGTAGTCTTTAAAAATTACTATTCAAAACTTTGACAAAATTGTTTGCTTTTTTTACTCAATTGCAAAAAAAAAAAAAATTTTGAAAGAATAAATTGTGTTAATGTGTACAAATAATAAATCCTTCAAAGTATTGTTAAAATATAATCTTTAAAATTTGCATCACTAAAACTGTATATAATCCAATGTTATTTGCATTAATTGTTTTTTTAACTATTACTTGTATTTCTTTTTTTTTTTAATTCTCATTCACTCCCAACATATAGTATCAAAGTGGCTGAATCAAAACTCATTCTTGATTTATGATTCAACAAAGTCTCATCCTTTTACTGTAGTTGTCCCTGCATGCTCTCAAAGCTTTATCTAGTTTTTCATCACCGCGCATCAAGTGCAACAACAACAAGACTGCAAGAAACCACTATTAAGTTGAAAGTAACTAGAAAAAAAGAATAGAGTTATAAAGAAAGGAAACACTTGATCAGGTCAGCAGTAAACAATAATCCAAAAAGACGTAAAGAAAAAAACTCAGTGAGAGGGTTGCCATTCATTAACATAGAAATGTCAACAGTACTGCAATATGTTTGCATTAAATAACTTAATTTTGTTGGAATTAAAATTTAGAAGCCACTCAGAAGTTACTGGAAATAAAGAAGAGTGTTAACCTTCGAGGATGACTTAAATAAAACAATTAGAAAGAAGTGATTTAATAATCTCAAAAACTTTCCCAGATACACCATACTAAACAAGCTAACAGAGAAGACCAGCATGCCAAAGTGTGGTAAAACCCTTAGATATGTCAAGACCAATAGCCCTAGCCTCTCCGCCTCCATATAATGCAAGATTAAATTTTTCACTCACAACAGTTAGCAAGTCAGCTGTAGAGCGAAAGGATAAAAAACTGTATTGATTTTCAGACAGTTATTTGACTCAATTTGAGAAATTTATTTATTAAAGAGTCAAAGACCTTGCTAAATGTTCACCAGAGTTTTTGAAAATTGGAACAACAGATGCCAATTTCCAGCAGCCAGAAAAAACAGAGTCAGTCAAGCACTTTTTAAATAGTCTAGAGAGAATTGAAGAGAGTTCTGGAGAAAAATTTTGAAAAACTGCGACAGGAATGTTTTCTGGACCACAAGCCGTAGAAGAGCCTAATCAAGAAATATTTTTAGCTAGTTCCGTTGATAAAGTTATTTTACTCAAACTTGCTGCCAGACAATCAACACGGTTTTCGATCCTCTTGCTCTATAGCTGACTTGTTGCTGTGACTGAAAGATTTTATAGTACATTAGATGAAGGCAGAGAAACTAGGGCTATTGCTCTTGACATAACTAAGGCTTTCAACAAAGTTTGGCATGTTGGTCTTCTTCATAAGCCTGTTTCATATGGTGTATCTGAGAAAGTTTTTAAGAGAATTTAATTGTTTCTTTTTAACCGCTTTAATAAAATCATACTTGAAAGCCAACACTCTTCTTTATTTCCAGCAATTTCTGGAGCACCTCCAGGTTCTATCCTTGGTCCTGTTTTGTTTCTTATCTACATTAATGATCTTCCTGGCAACTTTACACCTAAAGTAGTTCTTTTTGCTGATGACTCAACTTTATACTCTTGTCTTTACAAAAAAGTCTTCTCTTTTTGATCGTTTAGAAAAAGCAGCTGATTTTGAATCTGATCTCACTTCTATAACTGATAGGGGCTCACAGTGGCTTGTAAATTTTAACTCTAACAAAACTTAGTTATTTACTGCAAACAATTATCGCAGTATTGTCAACATTTCTTTATTGATGAATAGCAACCCTCTCACTGAGTTGTCTTTACAGCTTCTTGGATTAATATTTACTACTGACCTTTCATGGAAACGATATATACAATCGATTGCTAAATTAGCATCTGCAAAGGTTGCTTCTCTTTAACTGTGCTCGCTATTTTCTATCTCCTGATTCCATTTTCTACCTTTACAAATCTCTTCTTCATCCCTGTATGGAAAGCTGTTGTTATATTTGGGCTGGTTTTTCTAATAATACTTTTTCTCTTCTGGAAAAAGTATTATTAGAAAAACCAAAAGTATTATTAGAAAGTCCAAAAACGCATTGTAAATATTGTTGGATATGGTCCATCTGCTAAGTTTAAGCCTCTTTCCCATCGTCATAAAGTTGCATCTCTTTCTATTTTCTACAAATATTATCATGGCCGCTGCTTAAAGAAGCTTCTATCTCTAGTTCCATTAACCAAAATTCATTCTCGCTTGACTCATCATTCATCAGTCTCATTCTTTTACTGTATACTTCTTTTATCTTACTGCTTATAAAATAATTTAAAAGTTAAAAAATGATAAACAAGGCCTGGTTAAAAAGAAAGGGCATGGTCAATTTGATCAGAAAGTACAATCAGAAATTACATCTAAAAAGTGCAGTCGGTACATGTACTAAAATTTTTTTTTTGGCCTGGCAGCATCTACATATAAAGAACATTTATTACATCATTTTTGCCAGTGTAAAGCAAGTATCAATATTGGTTTAAAAAATATATATTTAAATAAAGAATAAAAACATTATTCTTTGTTTTTTTCTTCTATCGTATGCTATGAAGGTAGGAAAAACTAGTAACAATTTGTTATCTAAATATGCTATAGTAGATTAATTAGGATTATAACTTTAGTAGAAAAATTGCAACTGTGATTATTTTTAATAAAATTTAATTTAAAAGACTTCGAATTAAATATGATTTTAAAAATTTTAATTTAGTAAAACATAAAATGTAAAATTTAGCTTAAAAGGAATGTAAAATAGTTTTTCAATATTTATCAAAAAAATAATTTTCTTGATAACTAATTCTAGTAATAATTAAGTAAAATATAAATATCTTCATTGTAGATTAAAAAATGTGAAAGCAAACAAAAAACTTTACTTTTTTTTATAAAAAAGAGAAAAGTGCTTTTGTTTTATATTTATTTATAATTTTTTGTTATTTTAATTCAATTAATAATTCAATATCATGTGTAGTTCTTTTGGCGTAATTTATTTATAAACATAAATTTTGTTTATGAATATCTAATTGGTAAAATAGCTTAATATTAATTTAAAATATTACATTAATTACCTTAAAAAAAAATTAAAAAAAAAATTTTTGAAAAAAAAAAAAAAATTATGAGATGTTAAGAATAATGTTGTAATAAGAAATAAATTATTATAAGGAAATATAATCTGAATACACTGAATACAGTAACTTGTGTTATATTTTAGTTTAAATAATTTTTAACACAATTTAAAATTAAATTTAATTACAATGTGGTACTTTAAAATTTAATACTGGTACAATACTTTGACAATTTAAGAGTTTTTAAAATGGGCTGAAAGAACTAAGGTGAACTAAACTAAAGAGCAAGCTGAAATAAAATACAGTAGCAAACATTTTTAAATAAATTTTAAAAATGTTTGCTACTGTATTTTATTTCAGCTTGCTCTTTAGTTTAAAAGAAAAAATAAATAAAAATTATTTCAAAGCTTTAAAAAAATCATTAAAAAAAGTTCATAGTTAAAAAAGGTCAAAGGTTGTAGTTAAATATTTTAATTATAATTATAAATGTTAAGGTTTAATTACTTTTTTTATTTTGTTTACTACAAAGAAACTATTAAAAAGAGTAAAAGTTTCTTTGAAGAGAAAAAACTTTATTTACTAGACAAAGAATGCTGATGACATCAAGTTATACAGTTCATTTTGCAATACAGACCATAGCCATTATTTAGTTAGTGCTCTTGATAATGTAGTATTTTGGTCAGAAACATGGCAACTGCCTATTTCTACCAGTAAGTGTTTTGTTCATAGGATAACGCCTGCTTCATCAAGAAAATCTGTTAACTTTAAATATAAGTTAGGAGATCATATTTTAGCTTGGTTTTCTATTCTAAAAGATCTCGGTGCAACTCTTGACTCTCAACTAAACTATAAAAAGCATATTTCAAACGTTGTACATGCAGCTAATACAAGAGCATATCTTATTTTAAAATGCTTCAAGTCTCACCATCCTAGTATCTTAGTAAAAGTCTTTAATATATATATTCGGCCTATATTAGAATATTGCTCCCCAGTTTGGTTGCCATATCATGAAGAACGAATAAAGGTAGTTGAGAACGTGCAAAAATGTTTCACAAAAAAAATCCTGCACTTAAGCAATTTAACCTACAATAACCGACTTTAGTTGCTTGATTTGGAGTCGCTTGAGTTAAGGCGAGTAAAGAATGATTTATCGATTTGCTACAAAATTCTGCATAACTTGGTCCTTATTGATAAATCTATGTTCTTTCTTTTTGACAACAAAAACAACACTCGAGGACATAAGTATAAAATATACAAACAACATTGTCAACAATAAACACAACCTAATCTAATCTAATCTAAGAATAGAATAATTTAAAAAAACAAAATTGACAATGCTATTTATTTAATAAATGTGTTATTAGTTAACTAGTATGTATTTTGTGGAAAAAATTACATATTTATATAAATTAAAAAAATTACATAAAATACTCTTTGATAATTTAAATAAAATAAGTTTAGTATAAACAAATGTTTGAAATAATTTGTTATTATTTAAAAGCATTTCACATAAAGTATAAAACCATTAAATTAAAAGTTAATTTGAAATATCGAAGTTAATTATAATAAAAACACTTACTTTTTAAATAAAAAATAAGGTATATTATATAAAATATTTTTTGATAATTTAAATAAACAATTTTGATAGAACAATATTTAGGTTGATCTAAAGTTATTTGTTACTTTATTCAAAAGAGTTCTATATAATATAAAACCGTTAGAAAAAATCAAAGTTTTAAAATTCTTTATTCCAAATGTAAATTATAAACGTTTAATAATTTTAATAGATTTTGATTTTTACTATAGTCAAGTTTTATTTTTATAACATAATAATTTTAGTTTTTTTTAATTGTAATTTTTTTGTTTGTTTGTTCATTATAGCTTATTTTTGTTTTACAAATTTTTAAAATGTTTAATATTTCAAAATATGCTAAGGCTGTGGTCAAGTTGTTTTGAGAAAATATTTTATGCATGAACAGAAATGCAAATTTAAATTATAAAAGAATATTATAAATAGCATAACTTGCATTTTATCAAAAAAGCAAAAGTTTAAAGTTTTTTTTACAGTTTTTTTATGATAAATAACTTATATATTTTAAAAGAACTTTTAATTAAATTTTTATATATATATATATAATATAAATATATATATATATATATATATATATATATATATATATATATATATATATATATATATATATATACAGCGCCGTACTATCGCAAGTGCAACAAGTGCAATCGCACTAGGCCCCCTATTAAATACATTAGAAAAACTTCTCCAATACCATAAATTACTACGAATTGAAAGAAAAATTTTTTTTTTTCAGTTTCTGCACAGGGCCCCCAAAAGTTACATATATATATGTATATATATATGTAACTTTTGGGGTCAAAAGTTACATATATATATATATATATATATATACATATATATATATATATATATATATATATATATATATATATATATATATATATATATATATATATATATATATTATAAGAAATACTTTTAATTTTTTTTTTCGACAATCAAACATCTACTCTTTTTAATAAATGTTTCTTCATAGTAAACAAAAGAAATCACTTTGAAAGTTTGACCTTTTCTGAAGACCTTTTAAAAGCATTTTAAATGACTTTTAGTTTTTTAAGTTCATTGATAAAATTTCTTTAAATAATTTCTAGAATTGTATTTTTTTTTCAGTTTTTTTTTAGTATAGTTCAGCTAAGTTTTTTCAGCGCATTTTTTAAAACTCTTAAAATGTTGTAACATGAAAATATTATGTAAAGCCAAACAAGGTGTGCACGCTTCCAGTAACACATATATAGAAATATAACATGCTTCCTGTAACAGCCTGATATATATATATATATATATATATATATATATATATATATATATATATATATATATATATATTATATATATATATATAGGCCCATAGCAACTGGGGGGGGCAGCATAAGCCTTTGCCCCCCAATAATTTTTCAAAAAAATGGTTTTAAAAATAATGAATATAAATCAGATGTTTAATCTAAAGTTATTTGCATGATATGTTGTTTTTCTTTATAAGTGTATCAATAATAATTTATTTATTTAGAGGAAAAAATTTATAATACCTTGAAAGAACATCTATAGGTGATAAACTCATTCGATTTATATCCTTCCATTCACCAAGAAGTTTTCCCAATTGCTCAGCACGCTCAATTAAACCCATAAATCTTTATATGTTATTTGGTAAATTTAATAAATCTAAACACGCAGAAAATAATTTTAATTAAAACCAATCTTCTGAGGATCAGGTTTTAAAGAGCCATATGATTACAGAATTTAAAAAATAGAATTTATTAGTTAAAAATTAAACTTGTTACTATTACAGCTGTTTTAGGCTGTTTTAGTAGTTGCACCTTGCCTGTGCAAGGAGTGTAAATTCCTTTCACACTAGTCCTGTGCAAGAAGTACACTGGTTAAAATAGTATTTAAAATGATCTAAGATGGTTTTAAAATGAAAAATATGTTAAGCAGTAAATTCAGTAAATTAAAAAACTAATTCTTTGTTTTAAGACTGAATACAAAACAACTGTATAAACATTTATAAACCATTTATTTTAGGCCATGTTTGTTTATATTAATTGTAAATTTAAAGATTGAATCTTAGACTAATTAACAGAATTGGTTACCTCCTGTAACTGATGCAATACAATGTTAATAATAGTTCTAGCATCTAATATCAGACTAAGTTTTTAACTTAGCTTTAAATTGGAATCTTTGGAATTACATAAATAATAAGAATTTAAAACCTGATTTTGAGAAGTTTGGCCATTGCATTGTAATATTGGAATGTTTTAATAGACAACAAGAATATTTCAATATAACAATGCAAGTACGGATCTTCTGAGAATCAGGTTTTAACGATGCTTGTTCACTATAAGGTATACTTTTAGTATGAGAATATTTTTGTCAGATGATTTTTGTCAGATTTTAAGATTAAATTTGATCTTTGAATTCAATTACTTTATTCCCACTTAATCATCAACAACAAGTATAAGCATTTAAAATATTTAAAACAAAAACTCATTTTATTTTAGATACAAATATTTGGTGAAAATATCTCTTTTATTATAGAGACTAATGTTTCTAATTTAGCTACAATTAACCATGGTGAAAGAACAGTTGCCTTCTTTCTACACTTTTTAAGAAAGTGAACAACTTAAGCAGTGAAAGAAGCTCAGGTGATAGTTAAGGACATAAATTATTTATTGCCTTAACTATCACCTGAGCTTCCAAGATGTTATTTTGCCAATTATTTATTAAATAATTGGCAAAATTACATTTTAGACGTACAATTTTAAATGAAACAGTAAATAAAGAATGCTTAGATTATGTGCTACAGAATAGACTTGTATCCATAATGTTATGACATCAATTATCAATGTAAAATTGTTTTAAACATTTTACCATGTTTGGTAATCCCAACTATGTTCATTCGGCTCGTGGATCCCCTTTAATTTCTCCTAAATTAAAACAGTGGGTTTTAAAAAAAAAGAATTGTACAGGGTACAGGTCCACGGTAACTAGTAGAAGAAACCCTTCCCCAACTTATATTAGGCAAGTTTGAAAGCCAATTTAAAAATTTAGCTATTTAATACATCAATATTTATTTTCTGATACATTTTATCAGAAATCACAGAGACGTAATCGAGTGATAGTGTGGTTGGCATCGATTCGCGCGGAAATGTTTTAGCCTTATGGGGTCGTCAGATCAGGTCAGAGGGGTCAGACTCAAAGTCAAAAATTTACAAAAAAAAGTTTTTTTTCAATTAAATTAAACTTTAATTATAAAAACTTTTTTTAATTTAAAAATAAACATTACGGCTCAGACCGTATGCGAGCAATGCAGCCGTGTGGCGCCCAAAGGGGTCTCGCATTACTCTATTGAAAGCTAGAATTATTTGCCGTAATTTAGATAAACTTACTGTTTTCAATTTTGGGGCAACAAAATGTTAATGTTTTCATAAATTTCTTACAAGTATAGAAATAATATCTTATTTTGGTTTTGGTTCATATTGCTCCTTATCCTTGTATTAATATACTATGAAAATTTAGCCCAAATTCTCAAGACTGATTGTCTCATAAAATTCTCCGATAAAAAAAAGGAAAGTATTTTAGAAAACATAATTGGTTATTTTTTGTTCTCTATCTCATAAAAGCGGCGCAACGACTTTGATAACTTATTTCACTTTACTCAATTATTTTTAATGGCTGTGCAGATACAACTTTTTTATTTGATGAAATCAGTTAAAATTAATTTTAAACTTTTACGGTTGTAAAGTACCTTATAATACAGTCGCATATATGGTCAGTGCAGGCTTTGAACTTAAGATTTCTTGATTCTGAAGCAAGCGCTCTAAGAACTGTAATTGAATTTTCCAAAATATTCAAAAGATTTAAATTAAGACTGCGCAATAAGTTTTATATATATATATATATATATATATATATATATATATATATATATATATATATATATATATATATATATATATATATATATATATATATATATATATATATATATATATATATATATATATATATATATATATATATGTATATATATATGTATATATATATATATATATATATATATATATATATATATATATATATATATATATATATATATATATATATATATATATATATATATTCATTTATCAAAGTTTTTTTAGCAAAACAGGTGCTTTACAAAGCAACTGCAGCTGTTACTATAGTTATGAAATAAAAGAATTTCTTGAGCATGATAAATTTAATGCAGTTCATATAAATATAAGAAGTTTAAAAAAAAATTTTGAAAATCTTTGCAATAGTTTTGAGGAAAATTTAACTCTTTTTAGTGTAATATGCATAACTGAAACTTGGTGTAGTTCTAATGACTCAAGTTTAGATAATAAATTTAAAATACCGGGCTAAAATTTGATTTCATTAGGACGGAAAACAAATAAACGCGGCGGAGGTTTAATTATTTATGTAAAAGAAAACCTTCAGTATTATATTAGGCATGACATGAGTATTTCTGATGTCAATAAAGAGGTTTTAACAATTGAAATATTGAACAATAAAACTAAAAACATTGTGATAAGCTGTTGTTATCGCCCACCTACAGGCGAAATTAAAACTTTTAGTACATTTTTACAAGATGATGTTATAAATAAAAGCAACCATGAAAAAAAATTACTTAAAACATTAGGTGATCTGAATTTAAATTGCTTTGAGTATCATGTCAAAAAAGACATTAACGGGTTTTATAATGGCCTATTTGAAAACGGAGCAGTTCCTCTAATAAACAAACCAACTAGAATTACTCAAACAACAACTTCCTTAATTGATAACATTATAACCAACGATATTTTTAATAATTCGCTTAAAAAAGGCATTATTAAAAGTGATATATCTGATTACTTCCCTATACTTTTTTTAATTGATATTTATGCGAAAATTATATGTTATGAAAAAAAATCATTTAAAAAACGAATTTTTCATAATAAAAACCTAGAATCTTTTAAATATCAACTATCGTTAATTAATTGGGACATTATAAACTTTCCTGAAGACATTAATTTAATATACAAATCCTTTTTTAAAATTTTTTATGAAATTTATGACATCAATTTTCTTAAAGTAGAAGTAAATTACAAATATAAAAAAATTGTATCGCCATTGATTACTAAAGGTATTCTAAAATCTTCAAAAATTAGGCAAAAACTTTAAAATCAAAAACAACTGAGAGTAACACTATTTATAAAAATTACGTAAGATTATTTGAACGCCTAAGGAAAAATTCAAAAAAATATATTTCACTAATTTACTTGAAAAATACAAATTAAACTCAAAACGCACTTGGCAACTAATGAACGAAATTACTGGTAACACTAAAAAAAATTCGCAATCTTTGCCCTTTGTTATTAAGGTAGATGATAATCTTCTTCTTGATCAAAAATCAATTGCTTCTGAATTTAATAAATATTTTGTATCTGTAGGACCAAACCTAGCCGAAAAAATTCCGAACCCTAAAAAATTAATAAAAGCAACATATGACCCTCTAAACTCGTATCTAAATTCTTTTGATTTGTCTTTTGAAGATTTTGAAAGTGCTTTTAAATTGTTAAAGTCAAATAAAGCAGTTGGTCCTGATGATGTCAACGGAAATATTATTATAAGCTGTTTTGACGTTTTAAAAGACATACTTTTCCAAATTTTTAAATGCTCTATTAATCAGGGAGTTTTTCCTGATGATTTAAAAATAGCAAAAATTATTCCTATATTTAAAGAGAAAAAACTAATGTAAAACACTATCGTCCAATTTCCAACCTCTCTGTTTTTTCTAAAATTTTAGAAAGAATTTTGTACAACAGAATATACAATCACCTTTTAACAAACAAATTATTATATAACATGCAATATGGATTCAAAAAAAATAATTCAACAGAGCATGCAATTATTTAGCTTACAAGAAGTATATCAGACTCATTTAACAATTCTAAATTTACATTGTGAATATTTATTGATTTAGCGAAAGCGTTTGATACAATTGATCATCAAATTCTTATTAAAAAATTAGAATATTATGGTATAATAGGCAATGTTTTAAAATGGTTGAAAAGTTATTTAACTAATCGTAAACAATTTATTTATGCTAATAAATCATTTTCATCAAATTTGTTAAATATTACATGTAGAGTTCCTCAAGGATCCATATTAGGACCTCTTCTCTTCCTTATTTATATTAATGATCTATACAAAGCCTCGAATTTAATAACAATTATGTTTGCTGATGACACTAATTTATTTATGTCTCACAAAAGCATTCCTACTTTATTTCATAACGTGAACATCGAGTTAATCAAAATATCTGACTGGTTTAAGACAAACAAACTATCCCTGAACATTGATAAAACTAAATGGATTCTTTTCCATCCTCTTACCAAAAAACATAAACTGCCAATTAAAATGCCTCCACTTGTTTTTGACAATATACAAATTAAAAAAGTAACAGTAACTAATTTTCTAGGAGTTTGTTTATATGAAAATCTTACATGGAAAAATCACATTAAAAACTTATCAAGTAAAATTTCAAAAAGTATAGGAATATTGTACAAAGCGAGAAACGTCTTAAATAAACAAACTTTAGTACAATTATATCACTCATTTATTCATTGCCACATAAACTATGCAAACATTGCTTGGGGTAGTGCAAATAAAAACAAACTTAAACCTCTTTATTGTCAGCAGAAGCATGTAGCACGTCTTATATATTTTAAAGACCGTTATACTCATGTCAAGCCTCTTTTATTTGAAATGAAAGTTTTTAATATATATGAGATAATTATTTTTAATATATGCTTTGTTTTATGTTTAAATGTAAAACCAATTCATCCCTCCTATTTCTTTCCATAATTTGTATTCATCAAAAGATAAAAATAAATACATTTTACGCAATAATAATTTTATTAAGCAGCCCAATTTTCAAACAAATCTTTTTAAATTTTGTATTGATTATCGCGGACCATTCTTATGGAATAAAATAGTTTTAAAAAATTTTACTGAGGATTTTATTAATCAAAGTAACTACTTTTCTTTTAAACAAAAGCTTAAAGAACTCATTTTTGCAATCGATGATTTAACAATATACTTCTGATATTTTTTGTGATCTTTATTTTTACCATTTATTTAAACATGAACTTATAAAAAGTATATGTGCATCCTTAACAACTATAATTTACATATATAATAGATAAAACGCATCTTGTATTTATTATGGATTATTTTAAGTTTCTTACTTTTGTTAACTTATTTTTTAACCTTGTAATTATCTTTTAAATTTTAACACGAACATTTCTTAGCGGTACTCGACGACAAGACCGTATGGTCTTCTACGAGTCCCCGCGTTCTTTTATTTTCTAATAACAACCATTATATTTATATATAAATTTATTATTATATAATTGTATTTGAAATATTGTAACGAAATGCTTATTTTACATGTAATAAAAGAACAAAAAATATATATATACATATATATATCTGCTTATTGCATAGATCTATCTTTTAACCATAAGTTAGAAAAAAATCAGCTCAAAGTATCATTCTAATTGACTGCAATCTTTGCCAGGGTGAAGAGACTAATTTGACATTTTCCCTTAGTAACCGCGTTGCCATGGCAACAGAGTGCCATTTTTTATGATAGATCTTAACATTTAGTATACTTTTATTTGGAACATGTAATAACTTTATTAATGCTTTACTTTAGAAAATAAGTTTTTGAGGGGTTTTCCCCCTTTTTTTAATACAAGCAGAATACTTTTTTTAATACAAGCAGAATACATTTATCGTGAGTATAGGTTATATATATATATATATATATATATATATATATATATATATATATATATATATATATATATATATATATATATA